TATGAAAGGCTGGTTTTATAATGACAATAAAACTGAAGTTTTGAGAGCTTTCCATTGTGCTGAAGGACTTAAGGGAGCATTCAGAACAGTACCTTTGAGAGAACAGAATCAAGCTGAAACATTTTCAGGGCTGTACGAAGTGAACCATAGTTGCTGAATGTAAGCTGATAAAATTGTATCTTAATATTTGAATTTGTTGCTTTAAAAAAAAAAAAAAAAAAAAAAAGTAATAAAAGTGTTGTTCCAGGTCAGCTGAAGATTCTGAAGGGCACATTCAATATCAAAGATACATTGCAAATAATTCAGTATAATTTTAAAGAGTACATGAATATTTTAAGAATTTGCATTTTTTTTTCCTTCTTTCTTTGTGAGATTGAAAATATTGGTTCTATTGAGAGAAGAATGGATTACTCTTAGTCAAGCAATGCATTTTAATTTTAAAAAGCCACAATTTTTCTCAGTAAGACTCAGCAAGAAAAAATAAAGTAAAGTAAAAGCTTCTTTTCTTTAACTTTTCTGGCATATTCACTATGAGTAGATGAAGAAATTATTCATTCTGCTGATTAAGCAGGATTAACAATTCTATAGGTTAAAGCAAATATTGTAGCTGCAGAGAGGGGACACTATAGCTGAATATAAGTGTTTATATATGTGTTCATAGCTGTGTTTCGCTTTAGAGCCTATGATTAGCCATTTTTCTGCTGGTCTACTCAAATTCAATCTCTTAAGTTCTCTAAAACGGAAATAAACAGTGTGTAACAATAATACCTTGTGTAAGAGATGTGAAGATTTTAGTGGTAGGCTGCAGTTTAAATTTGGAATGTATCCTTTTATCTTTTGATTATTATGTCATAAAATGTGATGTAAAGGAGAAAAAATATGAGCATTTTTAGTGAGAATGTGCTGTCACTGTCAGGAAGAATTTATATGCTAATGGGTCTTGAAGAAGCTATTTGCCACTTTCACAATATGCAGACCGTATGAACAGAATTCAGGAAGAAAGAAATTTAAAAGCCTTTTACAAAAACAAAAAAAGCACTCTTCCTTCCACAACTTTATTTGTATTTCTTAAAATGCAAAGCAAATGGCTAGTAGAGGAAAGGTGTCACAGAATGGTTGAGGATGGAAGTGACCACTGGGATCATCAACTCCAATCTCCTCATTTCAAGCATGTTGCTCAAGATCACATCCAGGCAGATTTTTACTACTTCCAGAGAAGGAGGCTTCGCATCCCCTCTGGGCAGCTTTTCCCAGTGCTCAGTGTGTTATAGTCATAGTAGAACAATTAACTCTATATTTTTTCATGCCAATGGCTGTATTGTAAAAATAAATAAATAAAACAATGAAAACTATATGAAACAATTTTAATGATAATTAAGATTTGGAAATTACAGTTTGAAAATGTATTTCAGCATTAGGCAAGACCAATTCTATCCAAAACCACTGTCTAAGGTCATAAAACTAAAGTGTATTTTAAAAGAAAAGTGAAATTAATCAAAATATATTTAGCATGAAAAGAAATTATACCCTTTCATATCTCTGCATTCTCTGTTTTTATTTTAATCATGTTTTATTTTAATTATGTTGACTGCTCAGCCCATACCTTTAATTTTTTTATATATAGCCATTTGACTGAATTTTGGTAATCCTAGAGCCCTGCAATTTGCTGTCTTTGGATTAGATGCTCTGAAAATAACAGTGATAACATCCAACAAGTCCAATCTGATGTCTTCTTAAAAACGAACTTCCGCCAGGAATATTACATCTATAGCAACCTTCCAAAGAACAATTTCTACAAAGATCTGCTGCATAGTCTGGAATGGAAGTAGAAGATGGAATATCTAATTCCAAAAAAAGTATTTGTTTTTTTTATTGTTAGGTAGAATTGCTGCTTTACCTATTTTACCATATTAATAAATATTACATAATGTTGTAAGGTGTGTAAGTTACAAAGAGGGTGAATAAAGCATTGTCTAAGTAATTTTAGCTTCAAAATACTGCAGGATTTTTGTCAAGCACTCTGTTAAAAAGGCTTGTGCTGAACCCACGTATTTTGTCTAGTAATAGTAAGAAAAATCCTCCATGCAAAAACTTCGGAAAATATAATTTCTTTAACAGAGAAAATGGCTAAAGGTTCTCTGCTAAGGTAAATATCCTGCTATGAATTTCCTTTCAGTGTTTACTTCCTATTAGTAGCCTTAAACTATCCTAGCTAAATTTCACTGAACGTTAACTACAGATGAAGAAGATTGCTTATCGTTTACCAGAGTTAATAATAATTGTTGTTTGCAACTGTGATGTTTATAGTATGTATAATACTGAATGAGCAATTTGTCCTCTGGTGGCAATTTAGAGATAATTTAATATCTGCATATACTTTAGGATTACAAATGAGCTTTCTCCTTACTCAAGGCCAGTTTGGAGCTATTTGACTTAGGCTGGATTCTCACTGTTTTAATACTGTTTAGCTACCTAGTTTGCAAGATAACTCCTAACATCATTTTTTTGTGTCTTTCTTCTTTTAAATTGATGGTTTGGATGAATGGTTGGTTGGTTTTTGTTTGCCTGGTTTATTTTATTTTATTTTATTTTATTTTGTTAAGTGAGAAGAAAATTAGTCAAGCTGTTTTTGAGTTACAGGTCATTACCATAAATTTGAAGCTACCCTGTGAACATACTGATTGGCACAGTAAATAGAGATATTTACATATTTATTTATTTATTTATAGATATGATAGATTCTATATAGATTGCAAGCTTTCACAGGGCTCTTAAATGATCTTCCATAGAAGGGCAACAGGAATTACAGAATCGCAGAATTACATAGGTTAGAAGGGTCCAGCCTCCCTGCTAAATCAGGTGCCCTACAGTATCTTGCACAGGTAAAGGGAATAACTCTGAGGTTCAAGCTTCAACTGAAAGATGAAGAAACATAAAGTGATAAGTACAAGGTACTGCATCTTCAAGAATTAAGAGCAGAAGTTGTTGTTATGAAGCACGTGGTTTTCTGCAAACTGTAATAATTGAAGTACTGTATGCTATATTCAGTTTTGGTCCCTTTACTACAAGAGAGACATCAGGGCCCTGAAGTGTGTCTAAGAAGGGCAGTAAAGCTGATGAGGGCTCTGAAGCACAACAAGGAATAGTCGAGGAAATTAGGATTGTTTCTTCCGGAGAAGAGGAAGTTCATGGGAAACCTCTACATCTACTTGAGAGAACTTGTGATGAGGTGGGATTCAGCCTCCTGGGAGAATGGCCTCAAGTTGTGTCAGGGGAGGTTCAGGTTGGATATTGGGAAAAATTAATTCTTCCAAAGAGTAGTGCAGATGCTGGAATGAGCTGCCCAGGGAGGTGATTGTGTCACCATGTCTGGAGGAAACATTTAGATCTTGTACTAAGGGACGTGGTTTAGTGGTGAAATATTGGTGATAGGCAAATGTCTGGACTGGATGATCTTGGAGGTCTTTTCCAACCTGATGTACTATGTGAAGCAAGATGTGAACCTTACATGACTCAGTAAATTAGGGTGGAATTTGGAAAGCATACATTATGTTTAATAGCAAGGTGGTTGTCACTGCCTGCTGTCCTCTTCTGCAGCTGGAAGAACGGTAATACTGACAAGGATTTTCATTCCTCTATGAACATTCCTGTTCCTTTCATAAGGAAGTTGCTGGTTTGAAGTGACAGCAAGTCAGCAACTGGAGTCATAACAAGGAAGCAGAAAACTCAAGTAGATAAATGTTTTCCTGATTTCAGTAGGACCTCTTCTTGGAAGTGGCAGCTTTTGGGAAGTAGACATATCTATCTTGAATTATGAGAGTTTGTGTGAAGAAGACATAAACTATAGGCTATCCCAGATTACACTCCAGAAAATATCCACCTCACCAGTTTATGATTTGGGGTCCTGAGTTAGTTTAGCCCCATTCTCAAATTTTAGCCCCCTCTATTCTGCATGTAATCTGGTGCAGCTGATTTCATGGGATTTATTGCACACAAGTGTGTGGCCTAGTAACTTTGCAATCATCCAGGGTTATGTAAGCAGTAGGCTTATTATATGAAAGAAGTCTTCAGAATGTCCCAGAGGTAAACCAGTGAGAAACTGGAATTGCATGAAGGAAGACACAAAGATTTCAAGAGAGTTTGAAGAGATAAAAATATAAGAGGGAAAACTGAACAGATTTTTGAGCCAATGAGGCAGGTTTTGCACTAATGAGCTAATGGAAGGAGATTCTTATGTGGTTAATATGAAAATATAAACAGATTGCACTGGGGAGTTGTATAAAAGTGGGGAAAAAAAAAAAAAAGAAAAGCATTTCATCTCCTATTGTGATAACTTTCTCTTTTTCTCACACCACAACTTTCAGATCTGTAAATCAGATATTTAAAGACTGAAATAGCAAGATCTAAGATCTATTATCAGAAATTAACATCTTTCTTGATAAGAAATTACCAAAATGATATTGGAAACATTCTGTCCATCTCTGAAGTCATGCTGTAAGTTTTCATAAAAGGAGCAATATTTTTCTGTAGATTTCTTAGAAACTTTGTGTTGTCACCCACTACTTACACATGTGCAGGATTATTCAGCTAAAATAAATCTTGTGATGTGTTTCAGTTCAGTCTATATATGCCTTCCAGATTTTTAAAACTTTCTTTTATTAACACACCCATGTGTTACTGACTGTTTTGCTTGATGTTGTCAATCTCCATTTGTGCTACTGTAATCCCTACTTGAATTTTCAGTGTCTTTAATCTTAGTATATTTATTCTTGTTCTGCTTCACAATATTGGTTTCTCGCAAGCTGTCCTGCAATAGTAAAAAGATAAGTGTGAGAAACTGTCTTATGGATTAAAGTTAAAGATAGCTTCTAACTGCAAAGGAAGACTTAAAAAAAAAAATGTTATGCCTTAACTGTATCATTAAAGTTTGCTGAGTTGTGGAATTCTGACTTTCTGAAAATGGCTTTTAAGGTATTATTTTCATTAATTGTAACACAGCCTTTAAAGGAACGAATTTATTAAGGGTTTATTTGGCAGTGTCATGATATGTAAAATTTCAGTTTTCCTTAGTCATCAACAAACTTAAGAGCTGAGAGTACTTCATCTATCTCACAGGTACCTGGAAAAAAAAAAAAAAAAAAAAAAAAAAAAAACAAAATACAAATCTTTAAAATACCTTAGAATCTCAGTATGAGAACTTAATGTGAAACTTCTGTCTGGAAAATACAAGGCCAGATGGTTGTATAAATTGCAGCAGAAGATATGCATCTGTCCATTTTTTTTTGTCTAATTGGTTCTAATTGAAGAATGATTTATTTAACCAGCATAGCATATCATTTAGTGTCATTGCTATCAGACTGCAGCCTGTAGTTCTCTTAGTACTATGTTCTCTGTCATTTGTGGAATGCAGTGGAAATCTTCATTTCTCTAACTGGATGTAGGTTGACTGAATTTAAGTTCTTTTATAAGAAAAGGGTTATGAAAAACAGCAGATGAATATAATCAAGTAAAATTTATCAGTAAAAGTTCTTGCTATCAAACTCTCAAATCTACTTACATTATGAACTTACCTGTCATACTTTTTCTTTCTACAACATAAAGAGGTTACCTAGAAAAATGCTTTTGCAATATAATGGAAATAACCAAGTTCACTTTATGAAGAATGCATCACACTTCTACCTTATTCTGTAAAGCCACAGGAAAAAAAAATAGACTTTTGAATAGGAAGTCTATTGAAATTTGAACTTGTGGAAATAACCAATTTCACCGTCTTCTTAAAATACCTGTAATCCTGTACTTCAGAACAGGATGTGAAGATGTACAAAAATGTTAGAACAAAAGATCATGAGATGGCTGAACATGCAGACTGTGGATATTCTGTGTTTATTCTCGTTTATACTTGCATAATATATATGTCAGATATATGTGCAGTCTAAACATTGCACACATGTGTATCACACCTGTATAAATCAACTTAAAGTTTTACACACTTACTTGCAATCTGCAACTTTCTTTTAAAAACTGTGCTTGGGTGTAAAATTACTATCCACCAAATTTGGCATATTTCTTCCCTACAGACATTTTTTTTTTGTCTGATGAACAAATAAACATGTTTATTATTTTTCAATTCACTAGAACACACAACCATCTAGTGTGGTCCATTCCTGAGAAAACATAAGAAATGACGCTGCACTTACAAGAGATTTATATTACGGTGATATACATGACCAACTTTCTTTTAGATATTTTTATATTACTCTTCTAGTTTGAATCAGCATGTTTGAAAGTATCTCCTAGTTGTCCCTGTTTACCTTGTTTTGGTTCACATCAGAGAATTTGGAGCAGGATTTGAATTTTTAAATGAAATAAAACCTAACAAGGCAAACCAGGACTACACTAAATGAGTTCGAGTTATAATGGGACAAGACTAGAGCTAACTCAAAACTATCCATTTCTCTCTGAACTTTATATTAATGTAATCCTCTCCTCAATACAAGCTGATTTTTTTTTTTTTTTTTTAATGTATCTCCTTCTCATGGGGCATATTATTTGCTATTGTAGGTATAAATCTAGCTTTTAAAAATTGCTTTTACGGCAGTGCTTCATTGGGATGGAAAATATCTATGTACCTTATCAAAAATATATATATTCATGCCAATAATTTTTCAGGAAAGATATAGTAGTTTTGATTTTCTCCCAAAACTTAAATAATGTGTAATGAGTATGGCACACACTGCTGATCTCTCATTTAAAAAAAGAAAAATTTTTTTTTCATCAGCAAAGGTGACAATGTCACATAACAAGGTCCCAATACACAAATTTTTCCTGATTTTAAAGTTAAGGCTTTATTTTCAGTATTTATTAAAAAATTAGCAATATGCAGTAGAATTGTAAGGATTAATTTAGAAGAAATAGAAGACTAAAATCCGTACAGATTGAATACACCACTTTTTAAAATCAATGATCGTGTTTTCTTCTGATCCATAATCTGTATGTCACCAGGATTATATGACAATATTTATTGAAATTCTCTCCCATCATCAAGATCGTTGTACATTTAATTGCATTAGATGTACCCAACCATTTCCAAGGAACATTTGGAAAGATCAGTGGCTTGATTTTTTTTTTTTTTTCTTTTGAAGGCATTGATCGCTATGATCCAACAGTATGTAATGTTTTTATTTAACAAGATAAATTATACCATGTATATGTAAGTTGCCTAGTTTATTTGTACAAATATATCTCAAATGTAAAATTAATTAGCACAAATTGTCAAATTTCAGTCTTCAGACTCTACTTGTCAAGAGAGTAAAATAGCTACCTTTAAATGATTTGATACAACTAAAACTCCTTCATTTAATACCGTACAAAGTAGTTATTTTAATGATTCAAGATTTTACCTGCAAGCAGAGCCAAACCTTTCAAATTATCTTTGTACTTTTTTTAACTAGTCTCATGTAGTGACAATGAAAGAAATCAGTTCTGAATATGTTGTGCTAACCTGAGTAAACGGGATGAGTATGGAATTACGAAATTTAAACCAAATCTTTTATTTCCATGAAATCAGTTAGAATTGAATGTACAAATAAAAAGTTAATGTGAAGATGTAAATAATAAATGAAAGAGTTCCAGTAATCAAGTTAGTACAGGAGCTAGTGTAAGAAGACTGATCTGTCTGGATTAGGAAGGGTGATCATTATTTTCATCTGCAGTTAAAAGATTTGAGGAGTTATTCATATAGGTCAAAGGCTTCAAACTGTTCTTCCAGTTTGATGGAAAAAATCTACCTTAGCTTGCATTCGTACCAAAAAAAGCACACTGAGAAGTGAGCAATAGTTCCTCTTGTTCTTTCAGAGGTATCAAAATCACCTTATTTTTTTGCAGCATATTCATCTATATTTTCATCCACTTTCACTCTGCTTTTTTTCTTTCCTACAGTAACTTTTTTTTTTTTTTAATTCAGTTTGCAGAGAAGCAGATGCTCTTCTGAAAATTATGACAGTTTAAATGTTTTATGCTTAATTTTTTTTACCTTCATTTCTTTACTTATTACAGTTAACGCTTTGCATCTGTTTTTGTTTACAAGGAAATCTTGCATCTCCATACAGTGAGACCACCATAATGTACATAAAAAATAAGTGAAATTTCTATACCAGATTGACTTTACTTAAAAGTAGTGTATTTTATTTACATGTTTATAACCTTTTACTCAGCAGTCTATAATTACTTCAGTTTTCATAATAGTTTAAACATGGTACCTGCCGTTTCCCCCATTGTATTTTCATGATGTATATTTTGTACTCAGAACAAGAGTCTAAGATATTATCAACCCAGTGTAAAATCATGTTCTCCAAAAAACTGTAAGCAAGCTTAATTATTATTAGCAAAATAACCAACAAAAAACAAAAACCAACGCCTAAGAGTATCAGAGAAATGAGTTTGTACACATGTTGAATAACCTGCATAATCAAATGTTCACAGCTCCATAAGGTTGTCATTCTATCCGTTGTACCTACTGTGTTCTGATCTGTCCTTTATTGAAGCTGTTCTGGCTGTCTAAGATCACATTCTTGTCCTGAATGTGCCTTAACGCAGCATTCTGGAGGATCTTCCCAGGAGGATCTTCCATGATCTTTTCAGGCACAGACATGAGATTCACTTATCTGTAGTTCAAGTCCTCTTTTCTACTCTTAAAATGCAAGGAATGTTTTCCTTTCCCAGTTGCCAGGCACCTCATCTGATAGCTGTGACATTTTGAACATGATGTGGCTTGGCAACTACATCAGCCTGTTCTTTCAGGACCCTGGATTGAATGTCATCAGGCTCTGCAGATTTAGTCTCAGAGTAGGTTGTCTCAACAGAGACAGGGAAATTTTTTTCCCGCAGTCCCTGCCTTTGAAGTTCAGGGATGTGAGAGACATGGAAAGCCTAACTTTCAGTGTAGAACTAGGCAAACAAACTTGTTGATTATCTCTCCATGTCTGCTGTTGCCAGCTCTCCCTTTTTATTTATCAGAGGGGCTACACAATCCTTTTTATTTATCTTCAAACTAATTTACCTATAGAAAGAGACATGAACATTAATTTTTTTTCTACTATGTCTTCAAAATCTGCATATTCTTAATATTTTGTGCACTGAAATTATTGTCACAATAACTTCTAGATGTTTTACAAAACTGATTAGTGTCTTAATAATTTTGAAGACATTGAAATTTAAAACTGATCCTTCTTGAATAAACAGAGAAAAATAATTTCAGGAATAGAATGTGAATGCAGACATTTCAAGACATATCAGATATTATTTCCAGAGATTCTTAAACAGGCATTAAAATCATTTAGCATTGTTTGTAGGTACATAGGTAACATTAATGGGCAAAGTAATTACACAAGAATTAGTCAGATTTTGTTTAGAAAAAAGGTCAAGAGGAACTGAGATGTCATACCTTAGTCTTAAACTAATTTGTCCTTCCCTCCGTTGTTTTAATTAAATACCCTTAAGAGTGTATCAGTTTTCTCTAAAATTTATATTTGCTACATAAAATTGAAATGTTTTGAGGAACAGAGAAGAGCAATCTGATAGCAAAAACTACTAGAAAATACTGAGTCAAGCAGTTATGAATTTTTAGCTATACTAGGAATTATCTCTTAAGTTTTTAATATTTGATATTCAAGACTGTTCATAAAGTCATAGAATCGTGAGTTGGAAGGGACCTTTAAATGTCATCTAGCCCAAATGCCCTGTAATGAGCAGGGATACCTATAAGTAGATCAAGTTGCTCAGAGCTCTGCCCAGCCTGACCTTGAGTGTCTCCAGGGAGGCATCCACCTCCTCTGCAGGCATTCGTTCACCTTTACAATAACAAAGCAGAAAGATTTAAATCCAAGACTATTCTAATCACAGTTAGCAGATTCTTTCTAAATGTCTATCCTGCATGTTTGATCCTTCAAATATGGTTCTTTCATTGCTCTCAGTGTTGTTGGCTTGAACAAAGGAAGCAATATTGACTGTGAATATTCAATGGTATTTATTGTAAAAACAGTTATACTATTGCACCTAGAGCTAGAATGAATCTATAGTGTACATTTCTTCAGATGAGTACTAGGCATACAAGTCTGTAGTGTTTAAAAGAAGGAAAATCAGGTTATGTGGGGTAATTTCTTAAGGGACTTGGGATTTTCTAATTCAATTATATATAATATGTGCTACATATAATTATACAGCACAGATCATTCCCTATTTCTTTTGTGTTCTATATACTAACTATGACCACAGTTGGTTTTCATTTTCAGTAAGAAGTAAACATGAACTCCAAATCCCAAACGTATGGGTCTAAAAGGTCGAGGGAAAAATGAACGTGGCCCTCAGCTTTATTTTGCCAAATCAAACAAGATACGTAGTGCTTCAGGCTAAGTGAGAATTGAACTGAATCTCAGAACTGCTACTTTTGTTACTTAGCAGTTAACTTTACTTCTGTCCTTTGCTAAATGTTGTTATTTTAATTATTTTCAGCATCTAGGAGGAGTTCAAAAATGTACCAGCTGGTATTTCTTCCTCTAGCTGCGTGGCAATACCAATTTTAACACTGCAGAGGGGATTACTCTGACAAAACATTTAACACCTTAGAGGAACAGAATACTCTCCCCTTTGCTGTGTATATGCTTCCCTATTGCACTGTTTAATGATCATGAAAATAATTGTCTCACATTATTCATCTTTAAAATGTATTGCTTTATGAGTTTTGTCAACACTGGGGTGGAAAGCTAGTATGAGAGTACCCTGAAACTATTTTGAGGTGATTGAAATGCTTCTGTTTCAGTGCTGGTAAAATTTAGCAACCTGCCAGTAGTCCTGGCCTGAATATATAAAGTTTGAACTGTATCATCTTTCAACGTTTGTCAGATTCATTTTTTGTAGTCTGTAACAGACTAAAATAAACAACTGGTGATGATTTTGAAGCAAGATTCCTTTGAGGGATTCTAGCTTTAGTGGTATTCAGAACACAGGCACTATCCATCCTCTGTCGTGGGGTCTTAAATACTATGAGTGACAGAAGACAGATTTTGAGTTTGTTAGAGGAGACAGTTCACAGCAGTTTTTTGTCCTTTCTTTTTTTTCCCTCCCTGTAGTATTCCTGCTTTCAAACGCTGAACGCCATTTCAGAAGTGTATTTAACAGCACTCCTCTTGTTGCGCCCCCTGCAGCTCCATTAAAAATTACCACAAACTTTTTCACTGCTGTTAAAAAAATCTCACCAGAGTTCCATACGCTCTCTTTAATTCTAAAACATCTTGTGACTTTAATTACTTATAGAAGTATGAGCTTCATTCCCTTCATCTTTCTAGGTAGTCTAAAATGACAGAAGTTGCCCAGGACTGATGCTTTTTTTTCTCTGATTTCTTTGTAGTATCAACTCCAAGTTGCTGTCTCAAACAGAGGTCACCCATTCTTTGTCTTATACTTTGCTGTTATTTGCTTTACCATATGCTAGCTGGACTGGACACATTATGCTAATTTCTGCTGTGTAACCTTGAAAAAGGGAAGAATGACCACAGAACCATAGAGGTGTTGGAAGAGATGTCTAGAAATCATTAAGACCAACTTCCCTGCTAAAGCAGGTTTCCTACAGTCAGTCACACAGGGATGTGACTAGATGGGCCTTCTGCATTTACCCCGAGATCACACAGCCCTTTGGGACAATCTCCAAAGCACTGCTGGACACAGTGGGCTCCTCTAAAATACTTCACTAAGAACAGTGTTACTGACTGCTTAGTTTGCTGATTAATCAAAGAAAACAATGCCAGCTTCTAATGGCTGACTGCGGGAATGGTGGGGAAATGTTTATCACCTTCTGGTGACTACTGCCTGTCTGAGCTTCAGCACATTCAGTGTTGTTGTGATAAGCAAATTGCAGAGGAGGAAGTGTGGGGATGTGAACACCCCATCATGGGCTCTGAGGGGCTGTCTGCGGATACTGGCTCTCAGGCTCAGCCTTCTACCTCTGACGTGAGACAGATAAAGAATGCACTTCAATGATAAACTCTCTTTGACATCTCTGCTTTTGCACTTCTAGAGGAAAATGAAAGCAAATCCATTCTGATTCCTCACCCTGAAGGATGGGATGCATACCCCTATGTCTGGTCTCATAGCATCAGCTTTTTAAATAGAAGGTTCCTGTGGGACAGAGTTATCCATTTACCCATTCACTTTGCACGAATACAGAAATGTTTAAAAAGATATATTTAGCATCTGTAATAAGAGCTTTTATGCAACTATGTGAAGATTCTAAACAGATGTTTTTATTATACTGTGTGCAACTATTAAATGCACAAATATCTAGATACTTTTTAATTTAAGTTTTTGTTTTTATTAATGAGCATTGTGAATGAAGACTGAATATGATGATTGAATTGGTACAACTATTATACATGCTGCCTTCTGTGGACACTGCAGATCTTATAGTGTCTTCTTGTGACAAGATACTTTGTCATAATTTCCAAACACCTTTGAACTTCAACAGTTTGTGAAAAATGACTAATAACAAGCCTTATATAAGTTATATGTTGTATTTTTTATGAGCTTATTTTCCTGCGAAGGAGTTTCTGTTTACAGAAAAAAACTAGATACTGTTGTAGCTCATGTGACTGTTGATTTAGTCAACCATTCCTCTACAATGCCATGTGTTGCTGGAAATATAAATAGGTAAGTCGATGTGAAAGTAATTCCTTTTCTTTATCTCCATGGAAACTACAACAGATATAAAGAGCAGAGTAACAGTATTTAAGAGAGCAAATTCTCAGCTACAAAGCACTATTTTCCAACATAGTAACTTATTAGCTATATATTTTTGCCAGTGATAAAAAAGAGCCTGTATGTTGTGCTCATAAAATAAATAAATAAAATCTGTATGGCTATCCAGAACATGTTTTATCTTTCACGCTGCTGTTGGCACTGCTGAAATGCACCACCACCTCATTGTACTTGTGTTCACAGTTTGGTCTCTAGAAATATTCTGCAAGTATCAATGAATTTCAATAGGTGTCATTTTTTCTGCATAGGGACATTCAGTTACACACCTTTGCTTCATATGCACTTCCATGTCATACACCATTATGTCAGACTGCCCCTCTGCTGCCTCCGGTCTCATGGCAACAAAATGAAATGTTTTTTGGGAAGGTTCAACTGCTACTGCCATAGCACCACCACCACCTGCATCTGACATCATGGGACGACATAATAAAAAAAGAAAGCACTGTTTTCAGAGCAGCCTCATATTTTAAAAGAGATCTGTGGTCCTTATCCACAACTGGCATAAATCTGCATTAACTTTTTCAAGATAATTGTTTTAGTGGTTTTCCTAAGTTTTAGAAAACTCTAGCTCTTATTCATTTTATAGTAAGCCTTGTGCTTCATGTTAACACCTTGATTTCTGCAAGTGAGACGGAGGAACAGTTTGCATCTGTACAGCAAGATGTAGCATCAGTGTTGCTCAAGCTCACTCATTTTTCGTTAACAATCAAATGTAAGTCGTGGTAAAAGACTGCAAGGCTGTCTCTTACAAACGAGCAAAGTAAGATACTAACACAACTCTTTTCTGAGCTGAGCAGTGGTCAGAACTTAAATCTCAATCCATAATGATCACCCACATTTATTAATAAGTAACCAGTGTTTCTTTCTCTA